CAATGCCTGTGGCTCAAGTGGCTACGGCGCCAGTCACATACACCTGAGCTGGCGGGTTCAAATCCAGCCTGGGCCCGCCAAACAACAATGACAACTGCAACCAAGAAATAGCCAGGTGCTATGGCGGGCGCCTGTAGTCCCAGCTACTTGGGAGGCAGAGGCAGGAGAATCGCTTGAGCCCAGGAGTTCAAGGTTGCTGTGAGCTGTGATGCCATGGCACCCTACCCAGGGCAACAGCTTGAGGCTCTGTCTCAAAAAAAAAAAAAAAGGCTCGGCACCTGTGGCTCAAGTGGCTAAGGCGCCAGCCACATACACCTAAGGTGGCAGGTTTGAATCCAACCTGGGCCCGCCAAACAGCAATGATGGCTGCAACCAAAAAATAGCTGGGCGTTGTGGTGGGTGCCTGTGGTCCCAGCTACTTGGGAGGCAGAGGCAGGAGACTCGCTTGAGCCCAGGAGTTGGAGGTTGCTGTGAGCTGTGATGCCAAGGCACTCTACCCGGGGGACAGCTTGAGGCTCTGCCTCAAAAAAAAAAAAATAGCTGAGCATTGTGGTGGGTGCCTGCTATAGTCCCAGCTACTTGGAGATTGAGACAGGAGGATCACTTGAGCCCAAGAGTTTGAGGTTGCTGTGAGCTATGACACCACCGCACTCTACCGAGGGCTACAAAGTAAAACTCTGTCTCAAAAAAAAAAAAAAAAGGAAGCTGACTCAACCCCATTTGCGCAACAAAAAAGGGAGAGTTACTGGTTCATCCAGATGTTCTCAAAAAGTGTGTGGTAGGTATCTGACTTGGCTGGCTCCTCCTCTGAACTGTCCATGTTTTCTCTGAAGTCACCAGCTCCTGACTTGTACCCTCAGGGCTGGCCAACTTTAGTGGCAAGAGAACGTTATCTCAGTAGGTTGGAGAAAAGTTCCAAGACAGAGTCACATTGGGTTGTGTACCATGGGGTCTGGAAGTGGTGGATATGGGCAGGCATCACCTACAATAGACGGGTGGGGTCTGAATGGAGGGAGAGCAATAGAGGGCACAGTGCACCCAAAAAGAGCTGACCAGAGGAGGTTAGAGGGGAAGCTGTGGGCGGGAGATAGGATGTTTAGTGGACCCATGACCCTTTCCAGGGACCTGGGACTTGAACCTGTAGGGGCAGGAGAGTAGCTATCCCTGAGGGGACAGCGTCCTGTCAGGCCTAGGGAAGTCAAGGAAATTGCAGATGTGAGTTTGGATCTGCTTACCAGCTATGACGTTGGGAATGACATTTTTAATGTTCAGGCCTGTTTCTTCACCTGAAAAATGGGCATAGCCATATCTACCTGGAAGTGTTGCTGTTAGGAATAGATGATGTGTGTCAAACATGACTATGGTTGGTGTTTATCAGGGCAGCTTGGTTCACAGAACACTTTCACCAGCATTTATGTCCACCCTCATGATAGATCTGAAGGTTCTCTGGAGGTGGGGAGGTGACTGCTCAGCAGGTTCAACACACTGGCCCAAAGTCACTTAGCTGAAGTCGATAAAACTAGAACATGTACTTGGGTCAAATCCCATGCTGGTGCATGATGCCATGCTGGGTAGATCAGAGTGTTGAGGGGGTTAAGGATAGGCCCTTGTTGTCTTGCCCTTCCCCTGAAGCTGACCAGTGTTGCCTAAGGTGGGTCTCGAACCCATCTTAGGCCCACCGCTAAGGTCCACCCCAAGCAGCTCTTGAGGGCTGGGCCCTTGTGAGCCAGCCCCAGCTGAACAGATGGACGAGCCCTCTCCTTGCTCCCTCTTGGTAGACCTTTTTCAGCTTCCTTTGTTTCTCTGCTTCCAGCTTGGGTGGTTGTGTTCACATCTAGCACAACTTAGCCTGGTCCAACCACTCATCGCTGGAGACCCTATGAAGTGCTTTCTTGGACCCTGAGTAAGGCCACCCAGCAGTGAGATATCCACTCTAGGTTGTTCTTTCTCCATGTGTCTGTCCTCATTCTTGTCTATTTCAGATAGAATCAGGCTTAGCTGTGAATAATAGAGATCCCATTTTAACAAAAGTGAAAAGTCTATTTCTCTCATAAAACTCATGAAGCAGGCAATGTAGAGCTGGTATAGAGGGTTTTTTTTTTTTTAGACAGTCTCAAGCTGTCACCCTGGGTAGAGTGCCGTGGCATCACAGCTCACAGCGACCTCAGACTCTTGGGCTTAAGCAATTCTCTTGCCTCAGCCTCCCAAGTAGCTGGGACTACAGGTGCCTGGTTATTTTTTGGTTGTAGCTGTTGTTTGGCAGGCCAGGGCTGGGTTCAAACCCGCCAGCTCCGATGTATGTGGCTGGTGCCCTAGCTGCTTGAGCTACAGGTACTGAGCCTGGTATGAAGGTTTTATACAATCCTGAGACCCACGTTCCTTCCAGCTCACTGCCCCACAATCTTGTCCTCATGGTCTAAAATGACAGGCAGAATGCCAACTATCATAGCTACATTCCAGGCAGCAAGATGGAGGAAAAATAAAGAAGAAGGGGCTAAATGGTACATGCCAGCTTACTTTCTTTTTTTTTTTTTTTT